TGTTTGAGAGCATTTCTCCGTTTCTCAGGCCACCTTCCTCCCGACTGTCTACGAGGAGAACTTCCTGTGGAAGAACCTGCTCATTTCAGTTTTAGCTGTATGTATCATATTTCAAGACATGGGGGGGAAAAAATGTGATAAATGTCAGAACTGTATTTAACTGTAACTGTGCGTCTGTGCTCAGCCCTATCTCCAGTGCATCGTTCTGCTTTTCCTGCTTCGCTGGCTGGAGATCCATTCTGGAGGAAGGACGATGAAAAACGATCAGCTCTGCAGGTGATGGTCGCTTTCATCACTCTGATTACAGGAACCTCTGGTTTATTGATACTGAGGTTTATTGTTTTGATAAAGGTAGAAAATTTTGTGAGGCTTTTGGAGTTACCCAGATCTCTGAACAAAATGTGGTCGCAACCGTTTTACTGCAATAAAAACATATAAGTTTTGATGCCTACATTAAATGCAGCAGACCTGATGTTCTTTTAAAATGTTCACAGGATCTCATCCCAGTCCAAGGCCAAGGTGGAGAGGAACCTGGAAGAAGGCCAGAATGAAGACGAAGATGTGCAGATGGAAAGGGCCAGAGTCAAAGAGGCCCTCAGCTGTCAGTCCTGTGAAGAGGTAAATGTTTATAATACATAAATTACGAATGCTGTTGAAGTCCCTGTTGAAGAGTCGAGGTGTAATAAAGATTAATTTAGCCAGGCATCTTTAGTTTTGTTTCTCGTCAGTGATCTGAAGGCATTTTGCTACTTTTTCTGTCTTTTCTGTCTGTTTAGAAACCGGTCGTGGTTGTTAGTAACCTGAAGAAGCAGTACAAGGGCAGGAGAGAAGGATTTTCTCTAAACAAGAAGAGGAAGCTGGCCACAAAGAACGTCTCTTTCTGTGTCCGTAAAGGTACGCTTAGTCTTGCTGCTTTTTCTTACGCTGCGTGGTTCCCGACCGGCCGACTTCACCCACAGTCTGAATCCTAACCTGCTGTTTCCTCAGGTGAAGTTCTTGGACTTTTGGGCCCCAACGGAGCAGGAAAGAGCACCATCATGCACATGTTGGCCGGTGACACTGACCCCACTGCAGGCCAGGTACAGTAGGAATTACTGAAGCATTCCTCGGTCTGTTTATTTAATCATTTCAGTCATGTTACTCATGGAATACTTTTTTAAATTTATGCTGTTTTTGTCAGCTGCCCCCCCTCCCAAATTAAACCAAGAAAACACTGAATGTTTACTCGTCTTGGTCCAGGTGCTGCTGGGAGACTACAGCACTGAGTTTCGCTCAGTGGACAATCCTCTGGAGCACGTGGGCTACTGTCCACAGGTGAACCCTCTGTGGCCTCGGGTCACTCTGCAGGAGCATCTGGAGATCTACGCCGCCATCAAAGGCCTGAAAGGAGAGGACGTGCCGGGGATCATCAAACGGTAAAGTCTCGGTTTCCCCCTGACGTTCGACCACAGTGATTTCTATTTTTAACAGTCAGACAGTCAGAGATGATGTAGATCCTTAAATCTTTTTGAGAGATAATAACGGCTGTTGTGTGTCTGCCGTTGCTGTCAGTGTGGTGAATGCTCTGGAGCTGAAGGACCACTTACACAAACAAGCCAAGACTCTGTCTGCAGGACTCAAGCGGAAGGTGAGGAGACCCTCACCCATTATAATGTTAATGCTGTGTTTATCCTGCCTGATAATAAAGTATTTCTCAGAAACCTGTTGGTGTTAACAGCACTAACGAGTCAGAATATTTTAGCTTTTTAAGTTTAATTTTATTTTTCGCGGCGGTGGCGTTTAAACGTCAAATTTATGTTGTGTCATGAAACACGAGGTACTTCGAATCTTTTCTGTTATAGTTTTACAGTATTTGTATGATATTATTGTGTTGTATGTCTGCAGTTGTGTTTTGCCTTGAGCATGATCGGGAATCCTCAGATCGTCTTACTGGATGAGCCTTCATCAGGGATGGATCCAAAGTCCAAACAGCGCATGTGGTGAGA